AAAAAAAAAAAAAAAAAGATTAATTGACCAAGAAAGTCTGGAATTGTTTATTTTAAAAAAATAAATATTATAAATTTTATAATTTCAGTAATATTTGCGAAGATAATTCTGAAATAAATCGTATTATTTTTCAACATGAAAAAGGATAATTCCAGTCAAATTTCAGTTTTTGTACTACGCTAATAATAATAATAATAATTCCGTGACACTGACAGTTGCCATGAACAATTTGTTTCATCGCTTCTGATAATAATTTTGTCGTGATTTCTGTGCATTACAGCAAATCTCGCGTACGGGCATAGTCGGAGCCAGTCTGAAAGATTAGTCCTGCTCTCTATTTTCACATCTGGAGAAGCTGCATAACTCTTTTCTTGGACAAGAGATGTCTCTGGTTGTGAGATGCACAGAGCGCAGGCTGGTAGGCGTCTCGGCGCCTGTGTTTTGACGTCGGGGTTGTTGGATCTGGTCGGGTGGGTAAAGAATATGAAACGCTAGATCCGTTTTGGGGGAGTGCCGGCCGGACGCCTGTGCCTGCTGTTAACCGGGCCGTGGGTGTGTCAGGATCCCGTTAAGAGCGTCTCTCGCTCCGACTGCTGGAACTAATCATGCCCGATCTAACATATATTGGACTGTCCAGGTAGTGTTTAAAGTGACGGAAACTGGCAACCTCTGGAACTGCCATGGATACCGCGGTATGTGGCCAAGGTATGTAAATGACGTAAGAATTTTCGTCTCACATTTACATTTCTATTATTAGAGGCTAGTGAATGTGCGGGTTATCTCAGCGTTTTCATGGAACCGGATTAAATTCTACTCGATTACACCATAAATTCTACAGGGCAATATGAAGGTTACGATATAAATTAAAATAGACGAAACATAAATTAAGTTACATTTTTTTTTGTGAGGTCTTAAGAAATGTCGATTTCTAACCTATATTTTTTTTCGGATGTTATTTAAAGTAATATTAAGCCGTTTTGACTTCATCCGGCTAAGTAGTGGATACACCATTCGATGAAAGGATTGGCCAACGTGCACGTGAAGTTGACACACACACACACACACACACACACAGACACACCAGAGCCACGCCCAAATCAATACTTTCTGTTCACGTGACCACATTATATCATTCTGCCAACCGCTTTCCGTAACCCCCCGTTTCGGACGTCAGCGGAAAATTTGCTAGGGACTCAATATACGAATTAAATAATTCAATTCATGTCTGGTGCAAATTTCAAAGTGCACGTGGCTATTGTGTGGGGTATTATGGAAGATCACTATGTTTGGAATCTAAATAATTAATATATCAATAAGATAATAGCAGATAGTTACATCTGAAGGATGTACGAAATCAGTTACTCGCTGAGAAACCACGTATAATTGTCAAATTCATAACAACCGTCTCACTTCTCTAATTGGTTCGTTTAGTCTATGTGTTAAAAGTGGAAGTTAGTTACACACAGAAGCATTCGTTTACATTTCTTTTCGTTGAGTAGAAACCTGGACCTAAAATAAAATATAATGAACGATAATAATATTTTAGGAAATATTATATCTTGCAGACAATTAACTGGATATCAGGTTGGTTTGTGTTGGCTTCCATCTTGAGGGTATAAATACACTGAAGATTAAGGCGATATGTTCATCCGAAATTTTGGTAATCTCCCATAAGATTATATGGTGTAATAAAAAAGTCTGTTAGTTCACTTCCGTGAAAAATTTTGCTGTCATGTGGACTTTCTTTTAGATAAATTACACTTTTATTATAAAATCACATATTTTTTTGTTAATTTCTGTATGATTCAAATTATTAGATTTCTGAATGTCCCAGATAATTTAATAACAACATTAAATGATCCTTTAAAGCTAAAGCTCGAGCCTTAAGTAATATTTAAAAATTAAGTCCGTACCGCGAAGAAAACACAACACTTTACCATTACGAAGATCAAATAGTTAACGTTGATTAATGAAATAATCGCTGTTTGCAGTGAGAATCTTACGAAATTGATGGATTATGGAATATAGAATGTAGTAGGAACGGATCTGAATAAATTTCAGCGGAAATACTTGAAAGAAATAGATTATCTGGTATATACAAATGCGTAGATAAAGAAACGATACGCGAGTTCATATTGTGACAGCTGAATATGAATAGAAATTTATAGGTTTTGAGGAGAAAATTGTCCGTTTTGCATACAAGAAGTGATTGGCATGTCAGACGATCACTGTATTCGATGTACTCACGCCTTGTCACATTAATTCTGAAGAGTGTTTTGCGGGAAAGCATGAACAAGGCGAAGTCAGACTTCTATTAACTTTACAACGTAGTCTCTTATGTATATCGATTTTATTTTACTTAAAACATCAATAAACTTAAAGATATAAATTAAACTTTTATGTTAGAACTACGCTGAGTGGGTTGAAATTGAAAACGGTGACGAAATGGGAGGGAAATTTAGCACGTGTGGGGGATATTTCGAAATGCTTATCAAAGTTCAGAAGGAAAGTCTCAGGAGAAGAGAGAATTTTTTGCGAGAATTAGGACGAACCTATCAAAATAGACGTTAGAAAAGATTCAAACGAAGTTGATCAGGAGTTTCCTGATGTGGGTTCTTGAGAACACTGCATTGAACATTCTACTTCCAGAAAACTAATGGATTATATTTTATCAACTGAAGTGTCAGCCTCTGAGGAACTGTGGTGCATGGAGTATTATTTGTATATTACATAATTCAAATTTAAGATCTGGAAACAATTATTCCTCCAAATCAAATTTTAGAAATTACCATACAAGATGGCTTGTCTCCTGGGTTTTAGCGTCGAAAAAAAATTACATACATGGTAAACTTCTACCAGACTACAGGGCACAACAACCCAGAATACAGCCATCTTCAGACTCACCGCCTTGGAAAAGTAAAATCCTACAAAGCGTAAAAGTTTCTGTATTTCCGAAGTACAATACACAATTTCTAACAGTCTAATATTCGATATCATTAATGGGTAAATGCTATGCAATTATACGACACGTTTGGTAAGACATATAAGATCAATACGGACATAATGGTAGCAGGGATTAGAAAGGAGAGGCGGGAGTCGCAGCCTCCTGTGTTTAGTAATCTCATCGAGTGAGATATCATGTCCTCACGACTGCAAATAAGAAGATGATTTCTTTCTGGGTTAGTTTACCAACGTTTCAGATGATTACTCCTTCCATCGACAATCTACAAGACATTTTCATTACAGCGTATTTCCAGGTTATATAGAGCAGTGGTATTCAACCTGGGGTACGCGAAGACATCTTAGGGGATACGTGAAATTTAAAAATATATATTATTTTATGATAAACACTGAATAATCAGTAATGTAATTTATTTAATTTATTTTAGATGTAGATTATATACTATATATAACTTGAATTATACACCAACAACTTTGGGGGTACAAAGTTGAAGAGAAATTATATCTGGGGGTACGCGAAGACATCTTAGGGGGTACGTGAAATTTAAAAAAATATATATATATTATTTTATGATGAACACTGAATAATCAGTAATGTAATTTATTTAATTTATTTTAGATGTAGATTATATACTATATATAACTTGAATTATACACCAACAACTTTGGGGGTACAAAGTTGAAGAGAAATTATATCTGGGGGTACGCGAACAAAAAAGTTTCAATACCACTGATATACAGTAATGAGACGCGTCCCTATGAAGACATTTCAGTTCGTAGCAAAATAATTACTGTTAACAAAGACAGTAATTAAGGCACAGGTGGAAATAACCAGTTACGTAGCAAATACAGTAACATAATCAATAAATTTTCACCGTAGCTGATTTCTACAAGCTCACATAAAGTCACAAAGCGACCGCACACAACTGCGTTAATATGATACGGTATCTGACAAACAAGACCACAAAAGCTGAGCTGTTACGTCCTTTGTAGCTTCGTGACAGATGTTTGTCTACACTCGGCACTGCTGTTTCTATTTGTGAAGATAATGGAAGTTTCCGGTAGGCGTCAAATGAATAAAACGCTTTTCAGTGGCGTCGGAGAGAGATTGTTCCGGTAGAAGCCAGATAAATTGCACCAATCGACAGAATTTTATGAAGCATATCGGATATTTGTTCCTTCTATACGCTATTATCTTCGTGGTTAGGGAATAAAACTATTAATAAGATAGTGTAGTTGCGTCATATTGTGACTTATTAAATTAAAATTAATTATTTGGTTATTCCGTCAAATCACAATGTATTTAAAATAAGAATAATTAAAATAATTAAAATATCATACTGTGTTCCATATCGAATAATCGATTTACAATTGGAACAGTTACAACATGTTTCGGTTTTATTAAACCATCATCAGTAATAAACCTTGATCGGATACGGTAATACTTCTGGATTACCTCCAGACACAACTGCGTTGTCTACTATTTCATCTCTGACCGATGTAAACATAAAAACCATCACTTCAAACAATAAAGTTGATCCATTATATGAAAATATCTGGACACGACCTCCAAAAAACTACACTACGAAAAATTGTAATTGAGTTTTAAATTTAATATAATTTTACATCTGATGATGGTTTAATAAAACGGAAACATGTTGTAACTGTTCTAATTGTAAATCGATTATTCGATATGGAACACAGAATGATATTTTAATTATTTTAATTATCTTATTTTAAATACATTGTGATTTGACGGAATAATCAAATAATTAATTTTAATAAAACTATTGTTTATATGAAAGTAGTTACACGGGGTGTAATTTCCCTTATAGAAAAATGCTTCTTGTCTGTCAAAAATTTTGTTATTTAATTGAATCTTAGATGCTGTCAAATCTACTGAGATACAGGTTTAAGTATTTGTTCGCCGATTTCAGATTACGTCACAATGTGTTACAGTACACATGTTCAGAAAAGGAAATAGGTTAACTATCACGGATGAAGAAGTTCATTCTTCAAAGAAATGTTTGACTAATTTATTAGTCTTGAGAATTTTAACGTTATTTACTTGGCGGTTGTAATAAATTATAAGAAGAGTTATAATTAATCATCATTAGCATTTACGACGTGTGGTTATAACGCTTTGTATAACGAATAATTATTCGTGTTTTTTCCGTCTAATCACAATTGTATATAAATAAAATTTATACATAAGATATTAAAATATCATTCACATATTTGGTACATCTTTTTGCTACATGTTTCGGTTACATTGAACCATCTTCAGGTGTAAAGTTAAAAGTTAAAAAATTATAATCTTATAAACTAAAACTTAATTACTGTTGTTGTGTAACTTCTGATGATGTTTACTTCCAAATTCATTGGAGTGAGGGTATATTTTGAAGTGATAGTGGTTCAACATTGGCCTAGGAAGAGCGCAATTATATCAACTTATAACGAATATCAATGATATTTTATTATCTTAATTATAAGAAATTTTAAATATTGTGATAAGACGGATTAAAATAAATAATTATAACGAATAATGTTAAAATGTACTTGCAAAAACCCTGTTGTCTTAAATAACGCTAATTTTCTGAATGTAAGGACCTATAAAGCTGTATTTTCGTGTTAATTTTCAATTAGGAAAGGCATGACTGGTTGATTTATTTCAAAGGCATAATTCTATATTAAAATTGCCAGTAATAACACCGTGGAACATCGCCCTTCTTGGGAACCTAATA